TGACAGACAGTATTTATCTGTGAAAAATGAAAACCTGAAGACTAACAATCTAAGAAAGAGTGGCGATCTGTACATAACTTGGAGTTCAGAAGGACTCTTATGATTTTCCAGAAATTTCAGAGGCTGCTGACACTGCAGAGGACAACAATTCACAACCAAGGACAGCTTAACTTGGGAGCAAGGTAGCTGTTCATGTGCCCATCCATCTCCCATTGGCTCTGGAAGGGCCTCTCTGTTACAGGACCACCCCAGCAATTTCTGGTAGTGGTTGCTTAACTAGCAGACAGTCTAGCCTATTACTAAAATAAATGAACAAAAGTACCCAGTATCAAACAAAAGGTCCTTCCAACCCACCACCCTGACTGACATGCCAAGAGCAAACACCTCTTGTAGAGTGTAAGAACAAGGAAGCACATAGCTGTACCTGCCTAGCAATCTCTCCCTGCTTTCTGCAGCTCCAAGATGTCCAAGCCTGGTGACTTCTCAGTAGTCAAACACCCTTGACAGATTTCTTCCAATAATTTATCTCACTTATTGAGATAAACTCCATACCCACAACACTCAGTGGCAATGAGTTCTGACTTTAATGTGCAGCACAAGTATCTCCTCATGTCTGTCCTGACACACTCTTTTATTCTCTCTGGCTCCTGGACAACAAGAAACAGCAAAGAGTCACTCCCTATTCACACTTACTCTGAATTAATTAGTTTTACATATCTTTTACACATATTGCTTCAGCTGTTTCTCTCCAGGCTAAAAACTCATAGTCATTTTCTTATTCTTCATATTAAGAAAAACCATCACAGACTGACCATACCCTGGCTTAGTTTTCCACTATCACTCTCCTGCTACAAGACGACCAAACTTCTGCTGTTCACCTGCAGTCTCCCAGGTCATCCAGGCCTAGTTTGTGGGCCCTTGATAGCTAGCATCAAATAGCTTTTCCACTGCACCCTTGGTATTTAATTTGCTTGAACACATATGGAAAATAAATAAGCATTACAAAGAAAATAGCAGGAAATTGCTAGAGTCCAGTGAAAGACAGGGCACACAAAACCACAGAATACTATAAATGGAGAGACTTGGTTGAGCAGGTTCAGGAACTGTCTCATTGCTCTTGAAAGAGTATGAGGACTTGACATTAGATAATACAGTCATTCCTAATTTTATAGTAGGAATATCACAAACTAGTTTCAATTCCAAATAAAAATTTAATCTAACACAAGAGATTAGACTAGCAAAAATCACTGACAGGGAAACTATAAATGGTATTCACACCTCTTTGGTCAGTTATCCCATATTTTCTAATATTTAAGGCACCAAAGCACTATCACCTTCACAAAGATATTAGGGCTTAAAAAAAATAGGCTTTGAGGAAGTCTTGCACTAACAGTATCACCAAAATTGTACTGTGATGGCATAACAGCCAGATAATCTCTCTGCTGTCAGTGAGATTTTATAAATATGGCTGTGATACCAGGTATCTATATTTACATTTTAGGACTTTTGAACCAGTGTAGCAGGTGTTACATGAAAAATATCAGAGATTCCCAGGGAAGCAATAGCAGGGCCTTCAGAAAGTCCCTGGACAATCACATTCTTTCAATGACATAGTGCTTTTCCCACTTCCTCATCTAACATATCTGTTACGTTTATACATGTAGGTTTGTTCCAAAGTTTGGAAAAAACATCAATTTTAATTTTTTTATAACAAAAACATTTTTCTCTGTATATTTAGTTCTCAGACACGTCTCTCTGTATATGTATATTCAAGGATGTCAGGGCACATCTTTAAATGCATGGGCTTCCCAGAGCTGCTAGTTCATGAAACCAAGACATCGAAAATATTCTAAAGTGGGATTTTTAATACTAAAAATTGCTTCAGTGTATTCTAACCAATAAAATAATTAATGACCAGAAAAAAAATAGAAGCTCTAATGCAAGAAGTTTGGACTTGATGATCTTGGAGGTCTTTTCCAACCTAAATGACTGTGTGATACTGAGAACTGAAGCAAAAAGAGAAAAGCAGCAACAAGCAAAAGGACAAGGTATAATTTTACATAGCTTAAAAAGGAGGCAAGGAAACACAAGCTGAGACCTCAGAAAAGGTGCTGAAAAATAATTTATTTTTAAAAAACTTTATTGTTGATGATACAAGGTCCTGAGCCTGGAAGATGATGGAGAACTCCAGGACCACCTTGTAGCAAAGAATAAACACACAAAAGAGACCCAAGGATAGCCTATCTTTTAGGAGGAAAGCAAATATTTTAAAAAATAAATCATCAGTTCATGCTATGAAAATCCTGTTTCATTCAAGGAAAGCTATCCTTTGATGTGAATTCTGTGCTAAGGAAGGGAAGAATATTCTGAGCGAGAATCCGCCTACTAGCATGCCAGGATGAGAGTGGAAGAACAGAGGTCAAACAAGCTGGAAAGAAAACATAAATTATATATTAACAAATTAATTTGATTCACAGAAGCCACAGGGCAGTCAACAAACTAGCCAGGGTGGCAGAAAGTAAAGGTAACCCTATGGGAAAAAGAAGAGAGGAAATTAGTTCTAGGAAAAGAGATCTGATAGAAGCAAGCAACCAAAAGAGGATCTGAGAAATCAATGGCCAGAAAGTTAGGGACAGCTGGAATTATAGATAATAAGAACACGGAATCCAGATAATAGTATTCAACCATTCCTAGATGAAAGCAGTGAAGATGGACAAAATATTCAATACATTTCTTCCACATTTGTTAAGAAAGCTCACTTATATAGACAAAAGAGTAAGAGTTCATATGAATTCAAGAAACAAGGCATGTAATTCAGCAATTATTAATTTATCAAACTAAGTCATATCAAATGAACTGTTCAGATTGCAAATGTCACTTTTGCAATAGTACCTCAATGAATAGACTTTTCAAAAGGTGCACAGTCCCATGTCACTTTGCCTAATAAATTCTAATACAAAATCAACAAGTATGCTGTGAACTGGGTCAATAATAGATCTCACAGCAGAACTGTAATGTCACTCAATAGATATCTGTTTCATGGAGTGCTGCAGGAATCACCCTGGTCCTGCACAGCATTTTTATTAATAACTTGGATGAAAATAAAAGTCTTTGAAAATATGAAGGATTTGAGGTGGGATGTAGAGGAACTGGAAGGAAAAATTGCTAATATAATGAAACAGAATTGTCTCTCCCACTCAGTGCTGATAAAACACTTGAAATTACTGTAAAAAAAAGACGATGTATGTTCTGAACAGAAAACATGTCACAAAAAACAATCCTGGTAAGAACAAACCATGACTGAAATGACAGTTTTATAAAATGAAAAGAAGCAAGACTTCTATGGGAGGCCTCATGCTGCCATCTAGAGGAGACTGGTCAGCAGTGGGTTTCACCCTGCTTTTGACAGACTTTTAATTTATCAGCTAAGTCAAGAGGGGCCTATTAAACTTAGATATACAAAGATATAATCAAATCCAATATCTCTGAAACAAAACTACAAGTCCGTTAACTTTAATAAACAGATATTTTGGATTTTCCTTCTTTTTCTCTTGCTTATATAAGTCTGTAAAAGAAAACAACCTAAAGACACTATTAGGAAAAACAGTTCTAAGAAGTTCTGTTCAAACTCCACAACTAATTCTTGGTAAAAATTTTCCGAAGATACATGTATTTTACGACACACAAAGTATTCAATGTATTACAGTGTGAAGGAAAATGGACTTCAGTGACAAGAAATTACAACCATGGAGACCTTTCACAAAGCTTGAAAATTCAAGATTTCAGTTACTAGACACTAAAGGTTATAACTCTTCACTAGTCACTCACTTTGTCTTCTTTACGCATTCATTTATCCTCAGTAAAAATAAATGGAAATGCATGTAGCAAATATTGCTAATGAAACCTTACTAGCTTTTACTGCAACTCAGACTTAAACTCCATTGAGCAGAACAACCCTGTCTGACATCAAAGCCTACAACTTAACTGAGGAAGTCAATCATCAGCCAGTCTTTGCGTTTGACTCAGTTTTACGTTGTTATACTTTAACTTCTACTCCACTGAATGCTGTACACAGTCTTAACAGATGTTAGCACTGAAAATAAAATGAGCTTGAAGAATTATGTTAAAACAGATTTAATGATTTGTTAATAAGAAATCATTAGGGTCTCCTAGGTTTGCAGTCAGAAAAATTCTAAAGTTTTATTTCTACTTTCTGTAAACCACTGAAAGGAAGGTGAAAGACTTTTAAAACTTTTGTGTAGCCCAAGAGTAACTATAACGAAGGTCTGTGTTAGACCAAAATTTAACAGAAAAAAGTAAATATGTCAGTATGTACAGGTAGCATTAAACAACCCCACAATACTCTTGAAATTCTCAAGGCTGGGTCAACCTGTTAATGACAGAGTGCTAAATGTGATGATGAAAGCAGCTCCTTCTTCAAAAAAGCCCAATAAAAACTGGCTGTTTTTTAAGTGGGATAAAGGTCACCGTTAATACTCAATGACATCACCTCCTGCCATGATCGAGTTTAAAAAGAAAAAACAAACCAGTTGTAGAAGCAGAAAACAGCATGAACACAAAGTGATAGGAGAATCCTACACACAAGTGAAAGCTTCACTGTAGAGGCAGTGCATGAAGTTTGAGAGAAGTACTGCCACAAGTATTCTGAGGAATAGCTTTAGAATTTGAGTGGGAAATCAAGGGAAGTGGTCTGACTTTACATAAAGCAAGAATAAGTCAGGAACAGAAGTCTATGTGCCACTAGATAACACCAGAGTGACATACGACCTACATGATATTTCTGCTGATTCCCCCATGCAGGTAGGCTACAAGTTGAAGATGTAAGTTCACTTTCTTATCCTGTTTCAGTTCACTAACTGTGACTGTCAGACAGTTCCCAGGTCTGCCAAAACACTTTTCCAGCTAAAAAGGTACCACAAGCACATGCTTTAGTGGGAAGATTTGTGACTCAGTCAGTAACATCTGTGTACAGCACTTACATTCATCTAGTCCCAGCTGATAAGCCAGGTTCTGCAGGCCACGAACTTTTTCCATCAGGTTAGCTGTAGTGAGGCTCCCCAACTCTAAGAAAAGAGAAAACTGTACATTTTAATGCTGTCTATAGCCTTCTAGTGACAGTTCATGTGTTTAGTACTTCACAGAGCATTTTTAAGTCATACTTTTGACAAGATCTATTTCCAGTGAACAGCAGATGTTTCAAATTCAAGATGACTCCGCCCCTAATTTTAACATAGTGAGAAAGGCTCTGGTTCATGTTCTAATCTGCCACTATTGCAAAGAACAACTCAACCCAAATTTTGGAAGTTTCTGTAAGTTCACATTGCTATATGAACAAGGCACAAAAAAGTATGCAAGGAAACAGACTTATTTTACATCAATAACATGAGTTTAAGCACATTTCTTCCAGCAAGTCAAAGCTAATTCATCTCACTTTCACTGTGTAACAGTGACATGTCACTGTGACACGATCCATGCCACCACCTGGAATTCACATGAGAGACAGAGCATGCTCAAGGATGTTTACTGCTAACTAACACCTGCAACATGCAGCAAATCTACATGCTAGCTAGTCCTTCTGTAACTTGCCATACAGCCTCACCATTCCATTAGAGCTGTAGGATCTCTAAGGGAAGACACATATGTAATACATCTCTGAACAAGTCAATCAACAAGCCTAAGCTATTCACCAAGTGATCAGTGATCCAAAAAATTCTGGAGCAATAAAAAAGTGAGGTAACGGAAATAAATGTGACATTACACCGTTTGTTTTGAAAAATCAGCCTGAAACTGACATCTGGGCATTCTCTTGGAAATAATGGGTTTAATGACAAATAAGTATCATTAACGAGAGAGAGACTCCCAAACTGGAGATTCTGCAGTTGTGATTGCTAGAGATCTGAGGCCATGGGGCCACCTCCAGAACACTTAAAGAACAAGCGTTTTAAGCCTCTTAAGTACTGAATTTCCATCTGCTTTGGCAACCTCACTTCCTGCTCACAATGTCCATACTCACCCTTCAACATATCAATATCATCATTTTCTAATTCAGCCATCCACTTGGGAGGAGAACTTGTAATGGGCTGTTTAAGAAACAACAGAAGTTCATATTCAGACAAGCACATATTTAGAATTATACAAAAAAGTCTGATCTTATATTGAAAACTAGTTACACCAAGAGCAAAAACATGAAAATTCCATATGTTCTGTAGAGATATTTTTATGCTTCATATTGTTTTCCGTATTTTCCCGGACATTTTAGAGTCAAAACCGGCAAACTGGCATCCACAAACCAAAGTCAGTATGAACATTAGGATTTTCTAAAGCTTAAACTTTTCCTTCTTCCAAAGTGCTATTCTCATTCACAGTAAGCTGCACAAGGTATAAAAAAAGATATACGTATATAAAAGATACATTAAAAACAAGAGGCTTATTCTAGCATTTACTGGAGCTATATCTGAGATACGGTTTACATAACGGGGGCGTAAAGCCCGCAAAGAGAACCTGCAGATGTACCCCCACACGGAAGGGTTAATGCGAAAGGCGCAGCAGCGCTCACTCACGCTTTTGAAGGAGGCGGCGAACTCAGCAACCCCGGGCACTGGGAAGAGAAAGCGGAGAACGGCGAGGGGTAAGCGCCTCTGCGGGGAACACCGCAACCCCGCCCGGCCCCTGCCCGGCCCAAGCAGCTGCCCCGAGCTGTGCCCACCCCGCCCCGAGGCGGCAGACTCGGGCCCACCGGACTTACGCTGCTCAGGCCACAGGTCCGGAGAGGCGCGGTCCAGCTTCTCGAAGCTGAGCAGTGAGGCCTCCAGGTCGGCGCCTGCAAGAGAAGAGGAGGTGAGTGCCGGGCGGGAGCGGCGCGGGGGCAGCGCCGGGGCCCTCCCGCCTCACCGTCCGCGGGGGCCGCCATCGCGCCCGCGCCGCGTGACTCCCGCCGCCGGTCACGTGACACACCGCCCGCGCGGCCGGTCCCGCGCCGAGGAGGAAAAGCAGCCCCGCCCCGGCCCCACGTGCCGCTCTCCCCGCGGCCGCGGGGCGGCGCTGCCGGCCCGGCCCGGGCGGCTCAGGGGCGGCTCGGCCGCCTCCGCCAATCCGCGGCCCGGCACGGGGGGCGGGGGTCCCGGGGGGCGTGCCCGGAGGCCCTGCTGGCGGCGATTGGCTGTGGGCCTGGCGGAGGCGGGGCCTCGGGCGCGGCGGGGCGGGGCGCGGCGGGGCGGGGCAGGGGCGCCGTCGGGGGCCGCGGAGCAGCGACCCTTGGGCCGGCATGGCGGCGGCGGCGGCGGCGCGGGGAGCCTGGGGCGGGCGGCGCCGGGTGGCCCTCAGGGTGAGGCGGCCGCCCCCGGGGCCCGCAGCGGCTCCCGCGGTTCCTGGGGCGCAGGGGGGTCACGGCTCACCTGGCCCCGGGACCCCATGGGTGAGGCAGTCCCGGGCGGGGAGCGGCCGATGACGGGGTGGGGGGCAGGTGCTGTCGGATGCACGGGAGCCCTGAGATGGTCTGTGCTTCCCCTCCTGTCCAGCTGCCACGGAGAGCCGGTGCCCCCTGGACCAGCGCAGTCGCCGCTTCCTTCTCCTCCTCGGTGGTGAGTGCCCGTCCCGCGGGTCGGGGCCGGCGGGGGGCGGGAGGCGCGGGAGAGCCCCGGGCTTGGCCGCTCCCGGCGGACACTTCGCTCGGGTCTGCCCTGCTGAGGCCGTTCCTGTCGGCTCGGTCCCCGCCCGGTGGCTCCGCCTGGGTATTTCTGGAACCAGCGTCGGAACTGCCCCTGCGCTCGACGGGAGGGACGGAAAAAAGTTCCGTGAGCGGACTTGGGAGCTGAGCGGTGCCTGCCGGGCAGCGCCCGCCGCGGATCGCGGTGCGGCCGCTTAGGGAGTTACCTCCCGTTACTCCCGGTGCCTGTGGATTGGCCTCATGGCATAAGTTTGCGGCAGAGAGAGGATCTGGTTTCCTTCGGGCAGAATGGAACAACTTTAGTTGTTATAGTGCCATTTTAGTTCCGCTCTCCGTGGCTGCACACTCTCCAAACTCTGATCAGCTAAACCATGATTCCACAAATAGTCTGCATTACTGCCGTCCATATTCCCACAGCAGGTGCATTCTCTATGTAGAGAAAAGGTGGTGATCTTATGGAAGAAGTGCAATCAATATTAATTCAGCATTTCTTGGCTTGATTAAAATATTTTTTCGTTGTATGTGCAATCTTTTCATTTAATGTGTGTTAAGCTATTTGAAAAGAACATAAATTCCGTTGCACTGAAGCCCATGTGGTCATGTAGTACAGAAGCTTGTAGCTCTATTGCAGATACTCGGCACTTGGGCTTCTGGAGTGATTGATAGCAATAGGAGTTTGTCATTCTTCAGACCAGCACTAAACCAGCACCTTCTCTGAGTCGGGAAATTCAGTCAAGAGGCTCAGATTTCCCATGCTTCCTTCCAGGTTCTAGAGGGCTTTGTGTTTCATAGACACAGATTTCTGCCTCTCTTCCCCAAGTGTGATTCCAGCTACATAATCATCTGCAACTTTTTAATTCTCTCCTAGTTTTGCCTTCCAAATCACTAGGTCTTGCTTATCCATTAACAGACTTATTTTACTCTTCTCATCCTAGCTTTCTTGTCTCCAGTCTTTCTCAGTTTGTGTCCTCTCATTGCTGTTCACTTTTTTTCGTTTTCATCCACTTTTCACTTATTGTTAATTTTCCAACCAACACCCATATTCATGATTCTTCCTCTGATCTCTTTCCCTTCATTACACACTGGATAGCATCCCAGTCCTTATCTCCCTTTCATAATTCCACATCCTAATTTTTGCAGTTTCCTGATATATTTACATTCATATCTCAGTTCTGTCCCATTTCTGTTCTTCATATAGCCGACCCATTTCCCGTTCCTCTTATCTGTTCTCCTCAAGCCACAGTTTGTGTCATGATTAATGGGTTCTTGCTTTCTCCTAGTTCTCTCCTTATCTCCCAATATCAACTCCTGGTTTCTAGTTTATTAATTTATACAGTCCTAATCTGTTTTCCTGCGTGATACAGTTTTGTTGCCTATCTAGTGCTAATTACAGCTTCTATGACTGCTTTCCCTTCTGCTCTATGTTTACCTGAACTTTTCTTTTGCCTGCTTTGCATCTGAGTTGGAAGGTTCTGTTTTCTCTGCTGCCTGCCCGGACAGTCATTGTGAACTCCACAGAGGCCAGTTTCTTGCTCTTAGTTGCAGAACCAAGTGGGGAGCGGAAAAGTCCAAATTTATGCTTGTAGCTATAAACTGGAAAGATGAACCTACTTAGTGGCTTGATATGAAGGAAGCACACAGTGCAGTGTGCACTGGGTTCATGGAATTCTCACAAGGTGAATTATTAACTGTTTCTTCTGAACATTTATGACTTGCAGTTTTTCGGTTTCCAATTAAGTAGATTGAAATAATTCCATAGTGATGTATTTTTTCTATATCTGCTTTTAGAAAGAATTTTGGCTGTTTTGGTGTAAAGTGAGAGAAAAATGAGTCAGAGAGCAGTTAGCTGGGTCTTGCTGTAAAGACTGGATCTGGACTCTAGTGGTTTGCAGAGCAGTAAATGATGAAGGCTTGCATGCAATACTGGTACTTAGATACCTTGAGACAAAAATAACTCACTGTCCAGTGTTTTGTCCTCCACAGCCAACAACCAAACTCTTCATTGATGGGAAGTTTATTGAGTCCAAAACTACTGAATGGATTGATATCCACAACCCGGTAAGTGAAATGGTCTCAGCCTCTATAATAGTGAGCACTGAGCAACAAAGATCTGTGCCTCTCTTCAAGGACGTAGCAAAAGGGGAAAGTACATATATTCCTCAAGAAAGATTTAGGCTTGGAGGTTAAGATGGATTATTGCTTCTCAGTTTCCTTTTCACCTGAAATGTCAGTCTCAGAAAAGTTACTGCCTCCTTTACCTCCCCCATGTAGGAAGACCCTGATCTCCAGAAAGGAAGCTTAAACTCTGCTTGCATATTTTGATTTCTCATAGAAAGGCTCTGTGATCAATATGTCAAATCTTTGAAGGGTGTCTTTCACCCTGTATGTGGAATCAACTGGGAGTAATTTGATGCTAACTGAATGTGAAGTTGTGATAGAGACTGATATCACTCTAAGACCAAGGTGAAAAATCCTCATAACTGAAGCTCCTCTCCTTTCAGAGAGCTTCTACCTCTGAGCCACTATAATCACAGAGAATTTAGAAGTTGGATGCTATGCAGTGCAAAATAATCTTGGACTAGTAGCACTTGTAGTCTAAGTACTACACCAAAGACAAATGGAAATGAGGTTGCACTCAGAATTCTGACCTTTCTGACCCTTCTAGTAAGCATTTGGACAGCAGTTTCTAAATTTTTCCTCAGTAAAGCTCTATTTTGATTTGCTTTGTGGAAGTGATCAGAGCAGCAAGCCATGTTCACGTATCTCATTTGGTCTCTATGTGGCAACCAATGTTCTTATTTGATTTTCTTTCTCTTATTTTGAGTAGTTTCTCTCTTAGTGATATACCTGAAGTTTTCATCATGTCAAAGCAGATTTAGTTTTTAAGAGAACTAGACAGATGTTAAACTACCAACGTCAAGCTTTTAAAGATAAAATACTGTAGAACTAAGGTTGCTTGTAAAAATATTACTTTGGCTGAGGGGTATAGGTAAACTAACATCAATGCCAATTGCACAGTTATGTACTGCTTTTCCCCCTCATTTAATGTGCAAGAGACACAGCAGATGAGTGAAGATGATGCTGAGGGTTAGGACCACAGCCACAGTTCACAAAAACTTTTGCCTTATACTTTCTAGAAGCTTCAAGGTAGACAAATCACTTCCAACTTGGAAATGAACACTGCATTTGCAGTTTTCTGGGTGCCTAATTTGAGATGCAGGTTTTCAGAACTACTCCATTTGTAGCCCAGACCTTTTGTGTGCACCAAGGAAGGAGTCTCTTTTGTGCTCTCCCATCAGAAGTACAGCTCCTTCTAGAAGAAGGATGCTAGGTGTGTGCTGGGAAATGACCAGTGAATGGTTGTCAGTGACAGATGGGAGAAGTTCAGTTTTGATCCAATTTGTTTTTTCTTTCAGGCCACAAATGAAGTGGTTGGCCGTGTACCAAAAGCCACAGCGAGTGAGATGGAAGCAGCTGTGGCTTCTTGCAAAAAGGCTTTTTGGAACTGGTCAGAAACATCTGTTTTGAGCCGTCAGCAAATCTTTCTGCGTTATCAACAACTGATCAAAGACAATCTGGTGAGACACCATAGCTGTGTGTGATGGCTGTGGCTGAATGCATTGCAGCTGACTTTAGGAATTAAATTGAGAGACTCAGGGTTTACAGAGTTCTTGATGAGGCATTGCCATGATTGAGGAACCAACTGAGACACTGTCGAGAGGTGCAGCAAAACACTTCCCATCAAATCGGGACTTAGGTCGTTGGCTTCTTGTCCACAAGGAGCAAATCAGTCAGTATAGGCTTCTCTGTGTTCTGCTCAGTCTGCTCATTGTGAGGTTCAACTGTCTGTTAAACTGTCTTATCCCTGCACTCTATTTCATGGGTGGGCACTTTTTTAACCTTCATAAACTTTGTGTTTTCCATTTTCAGAAAGAAATTTCCAAACTCATCACCTTTGAGCAAGGGAAGACCCTGGCTGATGCTGAGGGAGATGTGTTCCGAGGGCTTCGTAAGCAGCTGGCTCCTCCTGTTAAAATAGGGAGTTTGAGAACCCATAGGAAGGGATGAGGTCACCTGAGTAACTGGTTGCTCTGGAAATCTGTACATGTTGCTCCCTTTATAGCCCTCCTATTGAAAGAAAAGGGGCAATTGTAGCTCTAAGCTGAGAAGTTTCCTTAGATAGAGCAACACTGAGTCACTTCTAAGTTGCTAGATCCTTACTTTTTCTAGGAGTGACCACAAATTACTCAAAAGGGATAAAAGCTCCTTGCTAAGTTTGAGTCCCAGGTGGTACAATAATACTGTACCTGTGCATCTTGTACTGGGGCTGTTGTGTCTGTGCTCC